TAGGCTCAAGAATGTTACGGTAAAGCAAATGTAGGTGCAGCGACTTCAGATACGTTCACCCTTGTACCGAAGAATGACTCAACAATTAAGAAACTGGATTGGGATGTTTCGTTTTCTGCTGCACCAACTGACCACACTTTATCTTTGCTGCTATCCATTCCAGTTGGTGCGGCATTCCCTAAAGGAGAAAAGTTTCGAAAAGTTCAAAAAGTTTCGATTTCGAGTGGCCCGTTTTGATCGGCGGTCGATCCACGCCCATTGCAATCTTCGGGAAAAGTTTTCATCTGAGGAAATTGGTGAAATGCAAGGCAACAAGAATTTTATCTTTTAGTTGAACTCTTGACCTTTTATTTTTCCATAAAAAAATCCAAATTTGTCCAAATACCGAATTCTTTTTGTAACAACTAGCTATATTTTCAAGCCTCAGGTTAGCTGGTTCACTTATCAAAATCGTTAAGCTCACTCACTCGCTCGCTCGAGTCATCGCTTAGGCAAAGTGGCCAATTGAGTCACTTATGAGTTGTGGGTTTTTATCGCCTTTCATGGTGCAAAAATTACAATCGTAGATCTTTTGTGCCGTTTAACTTCTAACGACCTCTCCAAACCAGTGGTACTGATAATTTTATTCCGAGAAAAGGAAATTGGAAGTGAGTTTACGTTTGAGAATTTCATTTCCAATACTCTCCGAATACCATAGCCTGCTCGGTAACAACGTAGGTATACGAGATGAGCCAGTGCAGGAATTCCTCGATAAGTGGGGAAAGGAGGGATTTTGGTGGGGGTGGAGGAAATAGCCGTATTCGGCTTTTCGGGGAGTGAGGTCATTTTGAAGTGCAGAGACCCCCTTTATCCTCGGTGGACATTTTTGCGACGCGAGTAGGATGACGGATGAATTAGAATAGAAAAGAAAGACTTATCCTGTGTGATCGATCGGGGATTCTAAGAGTGCAGTGTGCTGGTCTAAATGGTTTGAAGCCGGTGAGCTTTACGACGATACGTGGTTCATGATTGAACGCAAGTTATTCGCCGCTGTGAGCTCGTTCAAGTGAGGAGTTTCCAGGCGAACACCTCTGAACCTGGACCATGTTCAATATTCTGGAAAGCGCCGTTGATCATAACGTATGTAAAGATCATTGAGTAGAGCAACTTACCTATTCTGTATGAAAATCTTTGCGAAAAATTCACGAGTCATGCAGTCTTTAAGATTTTTTAGTTCCATAGATCATAGAGCAATTAGTTGTAGGTTTAAGTGTACAGAGGAAGTGTTTCGACGAAGATCGATTCCATAGCGCCAATTGTTCCACATCGTGTCCTCTAGCTGACGGCAAAAAAAGCCCTCAACAGAAAACATTTGTAAAAGGACGCCGCCCTCTCGGGCGAGACAGCACTCGAGGGGAAAGACCGCTTTTACCCATCGAACTGGATCAGGGCGATAGTACATAAAACATTTTTCGGTTTAATATAGCGGAAATGATGCTCGTATATACAATTCTGAATGATCGATGAGATCAAAGGGTGAGGTCTCGCTGAAAGAGCAGGCTTAACGCTACGATTCGCTTAGAGGTGGTCAGAGATGAACATTGAAGAGAAAAGCTAAGAAAAGTGGCTCAGAACCGGAGAGGTAAGACAATTTTTTACCAGTTGATTTGGAGTTCGGTGAGTTCGTCGCTGTTGCTCTCTAACGCTAATGGCTCTCTCTTGCTAGAGCAGCTAGAGTCCGTTGGCAAAGGGGGTAGGTGGCGCCGGGCGAACGATTCAGGAATGACGCCTGCTGGGCCGTGACCGTTATGACGTGATATCGATTTCGAATGAAAGTGAGAGCGCGTGGCGCGTTCCGAAAACTCCGAAAGTTATTTCAATTCCAATTTTTCAATGTCATTGAAATCTGCTCTTGAGTCGAATGGCAGTGATTAGTTGGTAGGGGTGGACTACACAAATTGAGCTAAGCTATTAGAAAGGTCGGCTATTAGAACGAAGCGCTTTTAGGAGAATGGTAAACAAAGTTTAGAAATGTACGTAAAGAGTGGAGATAAAATTCAATGATGCTCTTGCGGAACGTTTGATTTCATCTTTTCTAATCGTTTTGATGAAGTTGTCAGTCCTAATTTTATTGGGTTGTCCAACTCCACGAGGACTGGTAGGGTGGTAGAATGCTAGAATGCTAGTGGTGCCACTACCCACGCTCACGATCCGGGGTCAAATCTCGGATCGAATCCGATGAAGCCAGGCAACCTTCTACCAGCATTGGGCTGCTTGTTGGTAGCAGTCTCAATTACTAGGGTAGGACCCCCACTTCTAGATCCAGCTGGCTCCGAGTAAGGATTCGATGGAATAAGCTAATGCGCCTCGGAAAAAACACGTTGCTCACCGCCGTCATCTTATACAATCATACTTTGGGTAACTGCTGATGTAACTCCATTTTTCAGTAGTACTGAGAAAATGGGTACCGCGGAAGTGATGTAAGATGTACTGTTACAAAAATTAGTGCAGCGGAAAGAATTTCAATTGGAATAGCTCGGCCTTGCTTCCCTACTCCATTGCTGACTGGTGCCTGTTGCTAAAATAGATGAACTTGATTTCCCGTAGCAAATGTGAGAGACTTTTTAATGACCCTCACATCGGTCAATTGAGCCCGACTGCCTTTTCTAGGTCCTCCGAATTAGTGCGTAACCGCCTGCAGTAGTAAAAAACGCCGACTTGAGTTTATATTTGGAAAAAAGAGCCATAAGGAGAGAAATTGGATCTAGAGAATTTTTTATTGGAATGAGTAGCTCTAAATCCATGGCGCGAATTCTTGAAGCAAGGGCCTCCTTCTGAGACCAGTTTGCCAAATTGTGACAGTTATCATTTACTTAATTTGAAAAGTGGTTGATTATCGATTTGATGACGCAACAACGTTTGGTTTAGGTAGCCAGTCCGGGCAACATTACAATGGACGAGGCACATGTGGCGATGGCAACGGTCAACGGCTCCGATTCACAGCCTGATACTCAGCCAGGATTGCCACCGAAACGGACACTTGCCGATCTTTTGGCGAAAGACCAGCAGCGACCGCCCAGTCCACCACATGCAAGTCCCTCCGATGCGCCAGCGAAACAGTCACCGGCGCCAAAAACTACCATTGGAGAGCTGCTGGTAAAGGATAAGCAACCGCTGTCACCACCACCTACTAGTAAATGTCCGATAGTCCCCGTGCAACACCATGTTCCGAAACCAGAGGTTCGGCGGAAAAGTCCCGAGGAGGACGGGAGTGAGCTGGAGAGGAAACTGGCTGCTCAGCGTGCCAAGAAATCGCAAGCTGCGGCGGCTGCTGCCGCTGAGTCGAACCTCGTTTTCTCATCACCTCATGATACCATCCCTTTATCACAGAAGCCGTCTCGCACTGAAAAAGCTGAGGAACAACCTCAGATCAACGAACTTAAGTACCATGATCCGAGTGAAGGGTTTGAAAAGGTAAATAAAAGGGGAGAGTCTGAGAAACCATCAATGGAACTACCTCAACCTACAGTTTCGGAGTCAGCTACAGAAAAATTAGAGGAGAAAGAAATGGCGGCAAGTGAACCAGAACAAAAGGTACAAGAGCAGAGCTCTGTTCAACCAGATCAACCAAAAGAATCTGCTGCCCAAAGTTTGCCTTCTCCAGAACAACC